GTTGTATTGTTATGTAGTTATATGATAACTTGATATATCAAATCCTTAATGGAATCTGTAAGCGTCTTACCAATAACAAGGGTTTTAACTAGTGGCATATAGTAGCGATCTTTAGCTTGAGTCCAGATTAAATCATCTCTCCAAATGATGTTTTCATTCGATGTTTTTAAAATATATTTTTCAATATTTTAAGTTAAATATTTGCGGGTCTTAAATATATGGTTCAGTATTGTAGTATTAAATATACTAATGCACAAGGTAGATGGTTTAACATATAATATCTTACAAATACTGAGACTATCTCATATATTACATGGAAAAAAGTCAGAATTCATACAAAATGCAATATTGTACAATAAAAAAAATGCAATAAATAAAGTGCAAAAAATAAAGTGCAGTAAATAAAGTGCAATAAATAAAAGGGAAGTATTAAAAATATTTAAACACATAACAGTGTTTCTAAGACAGTCAGATAAAATCAAGCACGAATTAATAATATTAAAGTTCAGAAATAAATTAAAGTCGTTATTTTGGAAATGGGCTTTAAAGATAAGAAATATATTTTTATTATAGAACTTAAATAAAAAATAAGTGTTCAGCATTTTTTATATAAAAGTAGGGTTCATTTGAAGTGATTTGGTAGTACTAATTTTAAAATGAGAGCAAATATTATTTTGTTCCTAATCGGAGCGTTAGGATTGGTCAATGGCTATTATAGGACTGTAGGTTTATACCATAGATATAATAAATAACAAATAAAACAAAAAAAACAAAAAAAAAAAACAATAACCCATAGTTTAAAACATATTTGGAAAGATGTAATAATATGTTTTAATGTTTTCGAAATTAATTTAAAAGATTTTGTAAGCTCGTGATATTTATTTCACATATTTATTAATATATTTAAGCTATATAAAATTTTGATGTTATGTTCTTTTATAATAATTGTTATTGTTTATTTTTCTTAAAGGGTTTTCAATATTACCCAGGGGTAAGTTATAATTTTTAATATTTAAATATTATATATTAATTACTTTTATAACTTAAAGATATTTGTTTTATTAATTATTAAACAAATTATACTTTTTTATTAACTTTAATTTTCTTTTAAGACCTTGCAGTTCGATTTTCCGGTAGGTACAAATTTGTTCCTTTCAGTGAGAAATATTTTAAAAATATTAATGTAATATAGCATTGGGTTGACACAATAGTGGCACAAAAGCCAGCACCAGTTGCCGGAGACAAGGAAGAGAAACCAACGCCAACACCAGTTGCCGGAGACAAGGAAGAGAAACCAACGCCAGCACCAGTTGCCGGAGACAAAGAAGAGAAACCAACGTCAGCACCAGTTGCCGCAGACAAAGAAGAGAAGCCAACGCCAGCACCAGTTGCCGGAGATGATGTAGGGACACAAACGCCAGCACCACTTGCTGCAGACGAAGTAGGAAAACAAACATCAGCTCCAGTTGCCACAGACAAAGAAGAGAAGCCAACGCCAGCACCAGTCGCCGGAGACGAAGTAGGGACACAAACTCCAGCACCAGTTACTGTGAGTGACATACTAGCTATACTAATTAGATCTTAATATATATTTAACCACCAATTAAGAATCCACCAATTAAGAATGAAGTACTCGAAAAGGATGTTGGAAGTGCTACTATGGTAGATACACATACAAGAAAGAAGCGTTATGTGGAACCACTTGATAAATTCAACATACCAGCAGGTTTACTATTATATTTTTAAACATTTCAAGAACCTAAATATTTAAATATTTTAATTTAAAGATTGTCAACCTGATCCGGTCAGTTAAGGCCGTAAGCCGTGGTATTTAAGATGCACTTTAATGGATACAATTGCAATAATATATTTACTTTAAAAATATCTAATATAACATAATTCAAATATATTAACTAAATTTAATTTGTTTATATTTAAAACAAACTCAAAAGATTTCTGTGCAGGGTATATATATTCAACTAAGTTAGGTGGTTTTGAAGAAAGTTAGGTGAAGAAATTATATTTTTTATATGAAGCCTGTGAGATAAATTAATCTAACTATGGGCACCTATGTCACCAGGTATGTCACCAGGGCACCAGGTATGTCTCCTAGTTAGTAAATCAATTTAATCAAAGAAAAATGTAGCAACTTTATATGAATCCAGATGCAGAAACACATTTGATCTGGATGAATTCATATAAAATAAATTTAGAAAATGAATTAGAAAATAAAGTTTTAATTTAGTTTTAAAATAAAAATTTTGCAAGTACTAGGATTAGGTAAGGTTTAAAAGACAAGTATTAATGGGAACATAAACACTAACACTCGGTGATTATAAGTATCCCATTATGATGGCTTTAACATTTTCAGAGGGCGAAGAGCTGTAATAATCATTATTTCCAAAATAGCTCCACATGTTATATTTGTTAAACCATTTAATTTTCCGGATAACGTTCAGAAAATCTGATCAGTCAGTTTTCGCTAACTCTGACAGTCAAGCATAGAGACGGTGTCCTATACATAAGAGCTACATCGTCTGCAGTTCTTAGGAAAGGCTTTGAATGCGTTCCTTAAATATTTTTTAAATAATATATTATTTTATTGATTGGGTTACATATAATATAGCAAATATTAAAAAGGTGGCTTATAATAAGTTTTATAACAACTGTAGTAAAGTCATAGCAAAGATGAAATGATACAAAATTGCTACTTCCTTATTTGTACTATTAAGTGAACGTTCACATTATAATAGGCTCACTTATGGAGCTGATATGACTTTTATAAACTTCACTTAATAATATATCATACAAAAAATTAAATGAATAATTGAAATCATTTATATACATTTCATATATCAATTACATATTCAATTAATAAGAACAAAGATTTTATTAAATACTTACTTCCTCAGTGCCTTTGTTTACAGTTCTAGTTTGAACATATGACACATAGGTATTACAAATTTTGATCATTTCTTTTGTGGGAAATTTATTTTAAAGGGTTGCATTCGACATTTTTAGCTTTAAATGAGCTGATTTATTAATAATGAGCTCATTTCTATGAAAGTACTTTGTGTGTTAAATCATTCTTATTAGTGGCTATAATGTGCAATACCACCTAAACGAGACAGTGTGAATGTGCTATTAGCGTCTTTATTTTTTGCACTCTATTTTAAGAATACTTGAATATACCTGAAACCAACAGGTGAATAAAAAGTATAGGAACGTTTTTCGTTGAATATGTTACATATCTTCTTCTTCTGTGTTTGATGAAACGTGGGTTAGTGTCTGAAGCATTTTTACTCAATAGTGTCTTTTCGACGGTATATGTATTGCATTTGATATTAAAGCGCTTTGTCTTTGATTTACTTTTGCACATTCTCGAATATTAAGTCTGTATATATATCGTCATATCTGATGTACCATGGAGCTTATAGCATTTGTCTTATTAAAATATACTGATAAGTATGAAGTTTTGCCATAAGTAATACATCCATAAAGTAGTTTAGGACTATTTGTTTGCTTATAAAGAAGAGTTTTATATGCTTAACTTTCCTTGTGTTAATGGTTGTAGGTCATTCAAAGGTATATTACAAGCAAGCTTCTTGATCCTTATATACTCTAATCAAATGTATCTTCTGTCAAAAGTTATTCCTAAGTATTTTATATTGTCTTCTCATTCTATTTCCACAGTACATAATGCATATGATATCTGTTGCCCTTTCTATTGTATGTATAAAGAACGATATAACAAAGTTGACATATCCTTTGGTTTTGTAATGTAGAAACTGCTAAACAAAAAACGGTTCTTGTTAGATGCAAAACTAATCAAAATTTTTTCCAAGAACAAAGCCTTATTGAAATTTTTAATTTACGTTTATATCTATTCCACTGAAAATTGGTTTATTCGACCATTTTTAATCACTTGTATTTACCTATTTCCATACGAATATATAGACGACATACAAATATGTAAGTCACTTTTTTTTTGAGAAATATACGAGTCACTTATCAGTGGCATCATTATGAATTGCCAAAATTAAGGCGCGGAATTTTAATTACATAATTTAGTTAAATAATTCATAAAAAAAAACCAACTATTTAAAGCTGATAGCTCATCTAAATAGAAAACCGCACGCAATTGTCGGTCTGCGAAATGATCAGCCATGAAATAGTGAAAAAACTTATACCTTCCTCTGACTGTGAAAAAAATGACAGTAATAACAATAATTATGAATTTTATCCGATTAAAAAGTAAACAAAAAAAGTTCGAAACGCATTCCATGCTCATGTTCCCTATCAACATCAGCTAGGACGCATTACAACCACCCACTTGGGCTGGTCAAGAAAGCGCGCACTCGAGGCATACCAACTGTCATTTGGTAATGTCAACTGACGTCTGTTTAAGTTTGAAATGCGTGCGATGGCACAATTAATTTTTATCTAGTTTGGCTTAGTTTACATATGCAAGCGCGTCAAATTCGAAGCTCTATAGGATTTTATTGGACATATTAGGCAGCGCCGAGCCCGGGCATGAGTGTAAATGATGCCACACACACGCAGCTCTTGTGGGCAAATACTTGGCGGCTTTGATGCGTGTCATAACGCTCAATTATTATGACACCAGTAATTATCCAGTGCGTTTGTTGACTCTGCGGCCAATAATGCCTGAGCATACCTGACCGCGGCCGAACGTATCGTACATCACACATTATTGGGCGTGTTTACGCTTATTTGATAAATTCTTATTTATTACCGAAATAATGAAATAATAATTTTGCCGTTTCGTCATTTGATTACTGACATTTGACGCACTCGAATTACGTGCTAACGCGTTTAAACGCTAGCGTGAGTCCCGCGTAAAAAATTGTCACTAATCAGTCAAAACGAGTGCACGCATGGATATTGGTCGGGCGCAATTCTTATCTATAAACTGAAACATTTTCCACATTTGATGTGTGCTAATTCGAAATATTTACATATGAAGTAAATATTCAATTATTTTAATTTTTTTTATTCATATAAAAAAAAAACAACTTCTGATAGCAATACTAGAAATGTCTCTTCATCATTAGCCGGAACTGGTAGCCGCTGTGGGTGCTGCACCCGATCTAGGTACTATAGCTCCGGTTGTTGCTGTTGCTGCACCTGTAGGAACTGGTGGTGCTGGCGGTACGGCTGTGGTTGTGCGATTTCGTCCACAACCGCGTCCACCGCGATGCCCAACACTTAAATGATGAATCAGTGGCGAAATAGCAGCAGTTGGGAACCGTACTAGTTCTTTTTGCTCACGGTTTTCATCTCCAACAGATTTTTGTAGCTGCGAATTAAAGAAATTAATTGAGTTAATTACTTCAATCTCATATCATTGAAATTGAACTTACTAGTAGCAATAGGAATGCAGATGTCAGCAAAATAACAGCGAGTTGAGTTCTCATCGTGATAGTTCTGATAATAATGCAATGATTTTAAATCACTGCAAATATTTATAGCAAACTCAGGCGACGAAAGTTTAATTAAGTAATAATAATTATAATCAAATTGATTGAAGTACGTTGTTAGAATTTGACGCACCGAAGCATAAAGTTGGGTAGTCAAATTAGCACTAAATTTAGCACTAAATTCCAAACTACGCAAGAAATTAAATAAATAAAATTATTCGAAATAAATTTCAATTGAATTTTCGAAAATGTTTGGGAAATAGGCCACTTTCGGCAATTATAATTTCAATTATTTTGTTTTAAAATAAACAGAATGAATATAATTTTATTAAATAGACGTGTTGTTGTCATTTAATTGGTGTTGTCTTTAATTCAGTTATAATTATTATTTATCTTTTAGCAATAAATAAAACTTTTATTAATATTTTCGCGGGTCACACCGTCAGTTCATTTAAAAATCTTCCAAAATTCTGTTAATCATATTTTCTCTATCAACACAAGAATATCAACACAAGCAATAGTATTACACACTTGTTTCTATTTTAACATTAAGACTGCCTTTTTTCTTTTTCGATTGGTAAGCCTGGATCGAGTAAAGACTCTGATAATGATTATAATATACAATTAGGTTCCACCTATTTTAGGCTTTGTAATGATTCGAAGCAGTACTCTGATTTCTTCTTCTTTAATTGCATAAGAAATGTAATTTTTTTAAAAAGATTTTGCTACTATACAAGTTTCGTTTTTGGACCGATTCCTTTAGTGGGCAAACCAAGGTGACGCCAAAAATTAGTTTCAAGCCTAAAGAGAAGTCTTCATTCTTATGTTCTTCCCTTGGCATTTCTTATAAAATATTTAACCAGTTTCATCTACCAATTTGTCTATGGCAGTTAAATTGAATTCCATTAAAAACGTATGTATAGACTTTATGCCTGTAATTAGCTTTATCGCAGAAAAAATTTTTGTAACTTCCGGGCTGGTAAAGGCCGTAATATAGTACAATCAATTGTATTATAGCCTGCTTTACTTATCTAACAAAATGAATCTACTTGGTAGACAGAATGTCTGTTCCGCTTGGAATTCTAAGATTTATTGTGGTTATTCGGCTTTAATCTATTAAAAAATATAGATGTTTGATAAAGAAAGATATTAAGATAATATATAAATTATAGATAGACAATAAAAATATATCAGGAAATCTACAATTGGAGACATTGTGACTTTGGTGAGCTATGGTATTTGTTTTTCAGTTAGGGTTGGTTATCGACACAAAATATCTAATATGAGCAGAGCTGAATTACCTTGATAGCAAGTAATCTATTTATATCTGATCAACTGCATGTTAATTTCTATCGTAATAATAATATGGGCGCTAACATCTAAGGAGACTAGTTCAGTCCAAATATATATATTTATAAGGGTGTCATGTTGTCTTATATAGTTAATTTTTAACTAACAAAGCGCATATAAGGCAAACTGAATATCCAAATAAGAGGATCTCTAAAGAAGAGTAAAATATCAAGACAAGAAGTAGATCGCAAAATGTAACATAATGTTATTAATTCTATATACTGTATAAATATTTTGAATGTGATATCATTTTCATATTGCAATTGGTAAGAATACTAATAGTTGTAGATAGCAACGACTAATTTCGTTTCTTTATTGACTTGACATACCCGAACTCTTATAATTTTTTTCACAAAATCCTAAATCTAGTAGTTTTGCTTGCTGCATAGAAAAATTGCTAACGTAAAGGTAGATAGACAAACAGAGAGATAAATAACAGATAGGCAGATATTGCTCGATTCATTTTAGTTTGGGTTGTGTCATCAGGTTGCTTCAAAATTTATATGATTTCTATAATCAAAGACTGGTTCTTAGGTTATTTGTTGCCAACAAAAATAAACAACAATCGTCATATTTAAATCAATTTATTGAATATAGTTTAATAAACTGCGGAAAAGAACAACTACTCAAATATTTTTTTTTTAGTTAGATTAGGGAAAACATTATCTAAACTGAAGAAAAATAGATTGACTTATGCGGCAAAACAAAAAACGGAATATATATAAAAAGATATTTAATCAGATACTAAATGTTTCAATAAGCAGAGTCTAAATTTTGTGAACGAATTCTAAAATACCGTTCTTCGTGGTATCTTAAGAGCACTATAGTACATTCGAAAGGGTGATATGAGATCACAATACATAATAACGGATATCTCAATATATAATAACGGAGATCTCAAAATATAATATATAATAACAGAGAAAATTAGAAAATAAGCAGTTGCACCTTTCAATAGGTTAAAGAAGCATGTAAAGAGGGCTGCATATCTTCTCAGTCCTCAATTGACCATTGCAACGTAAGAAACGCCATGACTTTCTTGAAGTTTTTGTGTTTGAATAACCAGACCTGAATTACTTGTGAGTTAAGTAATTAGTTGTAGTTATATTAAAATTTAACCTATTTTATGTTTCTGAAATTGCATTAATAAACTTTCATTTCTACCGATAATTCAGATAAAAAATCATTTCTTTAATGAACATTTAAGTTTTAAAATATTAAATTCAGCCTTAAGTAATTAAATGCTTAGAGGGCATCAATTCATTAATCAAATTGAAATCAATTACTGCAATTTGTTGTCAATATGCAAAATCACGAAGCTGGCATAAACATTTGAAGATGCTGCACTTAATGGACATCGAGGACCAAAAATAGAAGCAAAGTGTAACAAATCTTTGCTGTCAAAACTAAACGACAGCCTTGCTAATCTAACAAACAATTCAATAAATCACTTAGCCTATTGCCTGATATCAGAAGACATTGAAAATGCAGTCAGCTTCCTTCCACCCAAAGACTTCACTATTGTGTTGGGTCAACTATAATTCAAAATTGAAATTGCAACAATCAATTGCACACAAATCGCTCCAGGCGCCTATAAATCTTCAAAGTGTAATTGTTGTTAGGGTTATTGTTGCAATTATTTTCATTGTTGCTGTTGATGTTGTTGTTGCTGTAACATAGATACAAGCAACACATATGGAAAATTATGCTTAAGCTGCTAATCTGTGATTTTCGAAATTGTTCACAAGTGTCATAAATCAATAAAATACCAATAAGTCGGTAACCAATGCGCTTACACTTCAAGGATGCAGCCATGCAAATGGTCTGATGCATTTCATAGCAGTGCAACTTCAAAATGCAAATTTTCCAAAAAGGATGTACACACAAACATATGCAATCAAAAGGAAGTATTGTACATGCAAGCCAACTTATAAAGAATAAACAACCAAGTAGTGGGAGAGCTGAATAGGAGCACAGGAACAACTGATTCTGAGTCTGAGACTGAGACTGAGGCTGAGTGCAGCAACTGTTTGGCACAAACAATATATTTCATGAAATTTCAATTGGAATTCTAAATCAATCAGATTGAGTTTAGCAGCATTAGAAGGACGACGCCCTACTTGCATCGAATATGCCTTTTGCTTTTGCAGACTTTTGTGCTATAAGACCGAGAAATGGTGATTCCAAGTGCACAAATACAGAGCAAAATACTTGATGTGCTTGCAGTCAATGTGCATTCTAAGTAAGACACAAATCATATTCCTAACTTCGGCAGAGTGAGAGCTGAGTAACAGTGGGAATGCATTGCAAAATCAAGGATATGTAAGGATTCGAAATTGCATCGAACAGATATATTAATGGTCACTTGAATTTGAACTGCAAACAACATTGAGAGGTGATATATTTCGATGCCATGCACGAAATTGGTAAGCAGCGCCTGAGATACGCAGTCAAGTGTACAAATCCGTTGGAACGAATGCACGTTTATAAATCAAACATCCTTACGTTGCACATATGAGAGGTATAAATTGTCTGTATTTAAATTACCAATGCGTTGCTAATTATAAAAATGTATGTGCTTGTTGCATGCGATTTGGTAGCCATAACCGGTGCTTACGAAAAAATTTCTAAGCTTTCATAATAACGATCATAAAAATCAATGTAAAACAGTTAAACTTTCAATTATTTCAACAAATATTTGGGTTAAATCGATTTAAATTTAATTTTATTTAATCACGAAAATTTTTAATTTCAATACAAACCTCGAATTTATTTCGCTATCGTCCAATGTTGAACAACCTGACTTGATATTTTGTATATGTGGACGTGGATCTGCTTGTTAATACTTTGACCAACAATGGCAATTGCAACAACTTATCTCTGTTTTCCTTTTCATATAAATAATGACAAGTACGACGACAAATAATAAATACAAACGCAAGGATGTAGGCTGGCTTTTAAGTAGTCGGCAATAGAATTTGAAATCTTGGTCGAAAGGACAATTGCATTTGCAGCATAACGTTGACCTCAAATAGTGTGTTTGGCTAAAATATGAAAATTTATGTGCGGAAAGGATTGAAAATAAATTTATGAATTATATTGGTTAGAAAATTGCATCTACTCAAGGATATCCTTAATGTTTTCTCAACCAGGATATGAATGGTTGCTTTGTTGCCAGTGCTTTTGTGAACGGTTACATGAGGAATACAATTCATATGCTGTTCCTGATATTATTCGTAAGCCCATTATTTCTGTCCTAATATAACAGTTTGTATTCAAATTATTTCCATCGATCCTGAAACAGAATTCGTTATCACATTCAATTGTAATTGTAGGAGTAATTGAATTTGAGTTGACTGGTAACTGGAAAAAAATTCCATGACATGCTTAAGCTGTTTGATAACAATGATAAGTTAGTCTTAAATTAGTTTCAAAATAATTTTTTTTAATATCTTAATAATATTAGTAAAATAATAATAGTAAGAAGCCTTATACTGAGTTATTTCTTTAATTTGGAAGATTTTTTAGTTTTATCAGCTCCTTAATACGTGTAAGATGCTCCCAATAGAGTATGTTGTAGAGGCACTATGCTCCACGAGAAGAAAAGGACCACAATAGCAAGTATCTCAAGGATCCATACAAGTATCTCAAATATAGTT